GCACGCATGCCAGCATCCAAATTCACACCAGGCAGACCGCCTCGGAAGCCGTGTCTGCTTATCACGGGATACCCTCCCAGAACATACATCCACACACAGGCTCACACCTCACACAGCCACAGACACACATCATGCCCATGAACACACCACACACAGGCTCACACATGACACATCAACACGCACCACATGCATACACACCACATACAACCACACCATACACACAGACATGCAATGCAAAAACAGCACACACCCACACACCACATAATGCATGTACAAACTTTACACACCACACATACATTGCACCAACACACATGCACAAGAATGCACAGTACAAACATTACACACTACACACCAAGGACACACACGTTCCAGTGTCTGCTAACTAACCCAAAACTCACTGCGGCTGAGTCAGAAGAGACTTATCCTGACCCCACACTGAGCCTCAGGTTTTCTGGAGGCTGGATGTCCTGCGTGAGGGGACTGAGGCTGCACATCCTAAGCGAGGGGACAAAGGCTACATGTCCTGCACTAGGTGACTGAGGCTGCACGTCCTGCATGAGGGAACAGCCTGTCTTTCTCCTGCAGAGCTGTTGCGGGCCTGGACAACCAGAGAGTCTTGCCCCCTGGGCAGCACAACTCCCTTTTGGCTGTGCCACCATCAGATTCTAGTCAGAACAGCAGCACTGTATCTATGGTTCAATTATAGAAGAATTGTCCTCTCTATCAAGGCTATACCAAGAGAAATCCAGCTCTGTTTTCCATTAAACTTTTTGTCAAATTAATTCTATTTCTTCCTTAAATACTTGGAAGAACTTGCATGTGAAATCGGTTGGGCCTCAGTTTTTCATTTTCAGAAAAGTATTAATTACAGATTTGATTTCTTTGTTGTTATGTGCCATCAATTTGACTACCACTTACAGCGACCCTATGAACAACAGCTCTATGCTAAGCCAAGCCATCTCTGACACACTTGATCCCATTGCCACAGTCACTGTGCCAATTCATCTCATCTAGGGTCTTCCTTTCCAGCACTGATCCTCTACCCTTCCAAGCGTGGTGTCCTTTTCCAAGGACTGGTCCCTCCTGGCAACATGCCCATTGTACGTGAAACAGAGCCTCAAAATCCTTGCCTCTAAGGAGCTACCTGGTTTCACCCTCTACAGGAAAGACCAGTTTGTTCTCTTGGCAGTCCATGGTATATTCAATACTCTTCTCCAGTACCCCAACTTAAAGGCATAAATTCTTCTTCTGTCACCCTTAGTCATTGTCCAGCTCTCAGATACTTAGAAAGTAACTGAGAAGATCATGGCCTGGATCAGGTGCACCTTAGTCTCTAGACTGGTATCATTGCTCTGTACTGCTCTGGAGAGATCCCTGATAGCAGACTTTCTCAAAGCAAATAGTTTGGTTTTGTTGGGTTTTTGGGATTTTTTTTTCTTTTTTTTATTTTCCTGATGGCTGGTGCCAAGACTGTTGATTATGGATCTAAGTAAGATGAAATTGTTAACAATTTCAATCTTTGCTCCAACTATCATGTTACTTCCAATTGGCCCAAGTGAAGAGGCTCTTTGTTTTCTTGACAGTGAGACATAATCCATATTGAAGTCTGCAGTCTTTGACCTTCTGGAAAATGCCTCAAGTCCTTTTCAGTTTTGGCGATCAAGGTTGTATCATCTACATAACGCAGGTAGTTGATGAGTCTTTCTCCAATCCTGATACCACAATCTTCTTCAAGTTCAGCCTCTCGAATGGTTTGTTCCACACACAGATTAAAAACATATGGAGAAAAGATGCGTGATGCACCTCTTTCTTGACTTTGAACCATGCAGTGTTTTCTTGCTCTGTTCAGACAACAGCTTCCTGGTCAAGGTTTCACATGAGCACCATGAAGAGTCCTGGGATTCCAAGTCTTCTCAATGCTAGCCACAATTTGTTGTGATCCACAAAGTCAAATAAATACCTTTGCATAATTAATAACATGCAAATAGACATTCTTCTGGTACTCTCTGCTTTCAGCCAAGATCCATCCAACATTGGCAATAATGTCCCCAGGCTATCCTAAACCAGTCCAGTCTTTTCTAAACCCAGCTTTCCTTTCTGACAGTTCTCTGTCTTTATACTGTTCCAGGCATTTTTAGATCATCTTCAGTGTAATTTTTCTTGTATATGATACCAGTATATTGTTTGATAATTTCTAAATTCTATTGGATCACCTTTTTTGGAATTGGAATAAATATGGATCTCTTCCAGTCAGTTAGCCAGGTAGCTCTCCTCCAGATCCCTTAGCACAACCTGGTGAGTGCACCCAGGGCAGCATCTGTTGGCTGAAATGTTAATTGATATTCCATCAATTCCTGGGGCCTTCTTTTTTGGCTGATTCCTTCAGAAAATCTTGAATTTCCTCCTTCATTACCATTGGTTCTTGATCATATGCTGCTTTCTGAAATGGTTCTGTGTCAGGCAATCCTCTGGGTTTTCTGTGGGCTTTGTCCACAGCATCTTTCACTCATACTGTTTCCAGCATGCACTTGGCCTTTGTGACATCTCTAGGAGCTGTGCCTTCGCCCTTGGACACTTTTTGCATCTCTTTTCTTCTTGATTAGTCTTGCTGGTTTATCAATTTTTATTAGCTTTTACTTTTTATTGTCTTTACTTCCGTGGTTCCTAGTCTATTATTTCCTTCCTTGTACTTTTTGGGGTTCAGTTTGATGTTCTTTTCTTGATTCTTGAGATAAAAGTTTAGATGTTTGACATTCAATGTTTCTTCTTGGTTTCCCCCTAATATCTCTATCTCTATCTATCTATCTATCTATCTATCTATCTATCTATCTATCTATCTCTATATCTACCTATCTTTCTTCCTTTAAGGACTAATTCAATTGTAACCTACAGCTTTTTAGCTTCTGTATTCCATTACCACTCAACTCAACATATGTCCATTGTGATGACTTCTTTGAAACATGGTTAGTTAGAAATGTGCTGCTTCCCAAACAGTGTCAGATTCTCTAGTTTGTTCTTTTCCTGAATTCTGCATCACTCCATCTAGCAAGAGCACCTGGATGGAATTCCTGGTTGGAACTAGTCTGTGAGTTTCTGTACGGCCAGGCTTCTTTACTATTTTGACAGGTATTCCATGAAAAGAAGCCATCCTATGTGGTAAGATGTGGTGTTCTATCAGTTCACTTCACGTGAGCTGTGTTGTTCTGATTTTATACTTCCTTGCTCACCTGCTGCTTCCATTGCTCTGCTGTGAGAGGTGGTATCCAGCTATGACTCCACACGGAAGACTAAGGTGTTCCTGCCTTGAGCAATCATCTTTTCAATTCCCTAGGGCATGTGGATAAGGAAGGCCAAAGAATTGAGGCTTCTGAATAGTGGTGGGTAGTAAAAAGCATTAATACACCTGGTGGACAAATCAATCTGTTCTAGAAAAAGCGCAGCTAGGATGTTCCTTAGAACGGAGGCTTGCCAGGCTCGTCTCACATAAGTTAGACTCACAATGAGGAAGAGACAGTCCCTGGAGACAGACAGCATGCTGGCAAGAGAGAGGCTTGTGAAGAAGAGGTGAAGACCCTGCATGGGCTGGACACAGTGGCTGCAACCCCGAGCCCAGCACGGGAGGACGGTGCAGGACCCTTCTGCTGGGCATGAGGTCCCTGTGAGTAGGGATCAACTCCAGCTGGCTGGCCCCTAACAACAATAACTACATATTCCTGCTTTTAGTTTTGTCATTTTTATGCATTTTATAGCTTTGTTATTAAAAGCTTCCCTGTTGAACCCACTCTTTTTTATCTTCAAAATGTCTTCCTGCTTTGAAGCCTCTGTCTAACATTAACAGGCCAGCATTCTTTTGCCTAGCATTCCCGTGGCGTATCATTTCACATTCAACTACTCTCAACTCTGGTATATTCACACAATGGAATACTACGCGGCATTTGAAAAACAAGGAACTCATGAAATATTACACAAAATGGGTGACCTGGAGGACATTATTCTGAATTAAATATCTCAGTCACAAAAGGACAAATACTGCATAGTGCCACTGTTATAAAAGAGGACTAACATAGGGGTTGGGGTGGGACTGAGAAAGACGGGATAAATAATGTATACTGCATTGAAACAGATGAGGGAGAGAACTGTTTAAAAAGGATATGTGATTAGATATTATTGTTATGACAGGAGTCCAGAACAAAGGAAGCATAGTGGAGTGGACTTGGGAGAAAGGATTAAATAACAGTGTGTTCTCCTAATTAAAAATGCACATCTGTAAACATTGTGGTTGTGGTTCAATCTGCATTGATGGCGTGACCTGCACCTACTGCCCCAGATGCAGACCACAAGTTCAAAGTCTGACAGATGTCATGGGCAGCCTTTCAAGCCCCACTCACTTGACTCTCACACCAACCCCAAACACCTAGTCAGGTGCCCTGGTGTGTAGCCCATAGACTCCAGAACTCAGGCATCAGCAGAGCTGGAGTTTCCAGTCTTTATACCAGTCCTGGGAGATGGTGCAGGAACTGCTGACTCCTGAGTCGTGCACAGCCCCCTGGCCTGAGGAGCTCACCCAGCCTACCTCCCCAGGCAGCCAGCCCCAGGGAGGAAGCAACCGGCAACTGTGAGCTCCCTAAAAGCCGTTCCCAACCTTGGATTTCAACAGCCAGCGTGCTGCCCCCTTCCTGTTGGCAGTAGGATCCTGGCCAGTCACTCTTCCACACTTCCCCTGGGGCAAGTAGTCTGCAGGTAATTAACTATATGAGTAAGGCCAGCGCTTTGCTCTGGAGGCCTTGCTAGGACAACCGATCAACCATCTGTGAATCTCAGGCCAGCACACTGGCTGAGGAGGTGGGCACTCCAAGGCCTCCTGCCCACAAGGAGGGTGCAGGTCCTTAGAACCACGTGTTTGCTGCCTCCAGAAAGGAAAGACACCTGAGACTGAGGGACGGGAGAGGGAGTGGAGAGAGGGAGGCTGAGAGAGGGCGGGGAAGTGGGTTGGGGCATACCAGCCTGCGGATGTCCCGCTCACTCTCACGCTTCGTGCGCTGCACCTCGTCCTGGTGCGCCTGGTACGCAGCGCGCAGGTCAGCCGCCTTGGCCTTGTCGGCCTGCACGCAGGTGCTGAGCGCCTCCTCGGCCTGCCGCCGTGCAGCCTTCAGCTCCAGGATCTCCTGCTGCAGCCGGAGCCGCTCGCTGTCGAAGGCCCTGCGCGCCTCCTCGCGCGCCTCGGCCAGCAGCGCAGTCTTGACCTTGTCGGCCGCGCCATCGCGCAGCAGGGTCAAGGTGGCCTGCAGCCGCTGCAGCTCACCCTCCTTGATCTTGGCAGCCCTCGCTGCCTCCTGCTCATGCTGTCGGATCAGCGCCTCCCGTAGCGCCTGCAGCTCGCGCGTCTTGTCCTCATGCAGCTTGGCGCGCAGCTCAGAAAGGAAGGCGGTGTGCCGGCGCTGGTCCTGCTCGCGCTCCAGCCGGGCCTCCTGCAGCCGCTCGCGCAGCTTGCTCACCTGCGGGAAAGAGGATGGGGGTGAAGTGGGTCAGGGGCCTGGGCCAGAGGGTCTGGGTAAGGTGCAGGTCCAGCCCTGGATGGCCACGGTCACGTGGAGTCCTGACCTAGAGGGTTGGGGCAGGGATGGGGTTTGGGTCTGGAGGTCGGGGGCAGGGGTAGGTCCAGCTCTGGAGATTGGGGTCAGGAGTGGAATCTGGGTCTGGATGATTGTGGTCTGGGGTGAGGTCTAGCCCTGGGGGTCAGGAATAAGTCAGAATCCAGGAACAGCCTGGGACAGGGGCAAATGTGCGGTCAGTGTTGGTGTCAGGGACAAGTCAGAAGAGGTGTCAGGAGTAGGTCAGGGTGACATTCAGGGGAAAGAATCAACGGATCCACTCCTTCCCATACCAGCCCCCTCAGAGCTCCCAGATGCCATGGTTGCCTGCTGCTCCCATCACTCTGGGCTCCCAGCCCCACCCAAAGGCCCTCATTTTGTTTTCAGATTTTTCTATAAATCTATTCACCACCTTGTTTAATAAAATTGACCTGGTTTTTATGAATGGAACAAGCAGCATCATTTCTCACAAATTGATGAGGGAAGAAATCAGATTCAACGAAAAAGAGAATAGCTGACTGTGGCCCTGACCAGGGAGGGTCAGACCATGCCTGGATCCCAATCCCCAGGTCCAAACCCCACCCGTGACCCTGAGCCTCCCAAACCCAACCCTGACCCTCCAGAACCTGTCTCCATCCCTGACCCCACCCCACCCCGAGCCCGGACCCTGACTCCCCAGTGGGGGTCCACTGGATATTTGTAGAGATCATGCTAGGTTCATAATGTGTTGGCCACAGTGGACATCATCCTACCCCACAGCCCACTGTACCTGCTCTGTTCTAAGCCCTGGTGCCCCAGCACCATCACTCCCATCCAGCTGGTGTGGACATGTGGGGAGAACTCCCACTGCTCAGTCTCTTACTCAGTAAAGGCAGCCACATGCCAACAATGGGGTAAAAGACATCAGAGGGCCTGAATCCTGACCAAGCACCCTGCACCCAGCACCCACTCTCTCACAGAAATCCATGCCTATGTGCACAGGCCCACTCCACTAACACAGCCCCACTGTCCCCATGCCCGCCCTGCACCACACAGAGCCCCTGCACAGCCCCACTAGCCCCATACCCACTGCACTTAGCTCCCAGCATAGCCCCAATGCCCCCATACTGACCACTACCACACACAGCCCAATCTCAACCCCACTGTCCCCAAACCCCACTCCAGCCCGAGTATAGCCCCACTGTCCCCAAGCCCCCCAGCCCTGAGCACAGCCTCGCTGCCCCCGTACCCACCACAGACAGCCCCTCTGTACCCACCTTACTCTTCTCCTGCTGGATCTCAGCCTGGAGGCTGGTCAGCCGGGCCCGCAGCTCCTCATTCGCAGCCTGCACGGTGTCCGGCTCCATCTCGGGCTTCTCGCCCTTGCTGCGCCCTTTCTTCGACATGCTTCCTCTCAGGAACGGTCAGTCTGGTGACTGTCCAAGGGACAGCTCTGCGTGCTAACCTGTGGCTCGGGCCTCCGTTCGCTCTGCCGCCACTCCGTCAGCCACCATCACTTGGAGCCCTGGGAGGATGGGAGTGGTCACCGGAGGTGAGGCCAGTACCACTCTCCTGAGTCAGTCAGACAAAGTGCTAAGACCTCCCCCACCTGCCTTTCCAATGGGCCTCCAGAAGCACTGAGGGGTGGCCAGGGCCACACCTAGTACCCCACTGTCAGACTTGGAGAAGCACATCTCTCAACCTGCAGACCACAGTGCACCCCCTCTGTGATGAGTGTTTTCAAACGTGAACCCCAACTCACCCCAGAATCCAGAGCACAGGACCCTGGGCCTTCCTCACCATCTGCCAGAGCTTCACACTGAGACATCAAGTCCCAGACCCCAGGGAAGGCGCGGGTCACCCATCTCCCAGATGCGCACAGGTCTGCCCCCCATAGTGGGGTGCCCTGCTCATGCCCCAGGCCTCTGGGCCCACCCGCCCACTGGACCGGTCTGATCAATGACTGGCCACTATATCACTCACATTCCTCTAAGACCAAATCTTCACCCCGGCCAGACCAACCTCAGAACCACAGGTGGCCAAGCCGGAGCCTTCCCAAGTGAGGACAGGGCCCTGGGCAGCGGAAGAGATGGACTCTGAGGGCAGGGAGTGTTCCTTACACTCAACACTCCACAAACGCCACACCACTCTACCCAGGACACAGTGACCAGGTGGAAAGAGGGTCTTTGAAGATACAATGAGGATTGATGAGGCCACACTGGAGGAGGGCAGTCTAGTCTTCAATGGCTGGTGTCATACAAACACAAGCACACGCAGGGGACAGACGCAAAGGGCGGGCTCTGTGTGAAGATGGGGCAAAGTTGGCAGCAGAACAGCCAGAGCTGAGGATTGCCACTAACCCAGAAGCTAGAGGGACTAGGGAGGACCGTCCCCTGGAGCCTCTGGAGCAGGTGGCGCCGTGGATACCTGATTCCCACTCGCAGCCTCCACACCGTGATAGCCCCACTCTGCGGTGTTTGTTACAGAAGCTCAGGACACTCATTCACAGGCCACACAGAGGTCCACACCTCTCCACAGTCACGCCCAGCACTCACCTCTCCCACCCAGAATTCTCGCCACATCCCACAGCCCACATTCCCGATGTCCTTGCTCATTGTTCACCGCCACCATCACAGCCGCACACGTCAGCAGGTGAGCAAGAATACCCAGAGGGCAAGATGCAGCTTTTACAAGAAAAATAATAAGCTGAGTTTATGTGACAGCAACTCATTATGTTCGATGCTCATTTCCTGCTGGCCCCCCAAGAGTTCCCCAAGGCCATAAATTGCAAGGGAAGAGACTGCCCATTTTTCTCCTGAGTGGAACTGGTGGGCTGTAACCTTTGCTTTGGGTTGGGGAGCTCAACTTTTCTTCCATGAGGCCACCAGGGTTTTTTGGTTTTGTTTTTGTTTGGTATTTTTGCATATTGCGCATCTAAAACAAAATCATTTGTAGTCACCAGCTCGTAAACTCTGGGGTTTGCAGAATATGATGTGTGAACAAGCAACTCACATGATGGTAGATCCAGACTGAGCCCTTGGTGACTGCTGGCTTTGGAATGACCTCGACAGGACCCTAGTAACCTATGCACAGTGATGTCTCTGAGGAACCACTGTGGCAGGGCTAACTCATCGTGGTTTGGTTTGATTTCTACCTAGATAAGGTTTTAAAGTGTCCACAGAGATTTAGCTTTGCATGTCTGTATGAGGGAGGGGAGGATTTGTTTTTCTTAGGCTCACCAAGAATCAAAGGGTGATGAAAACCTGGGAAAGAAAAAGATCAAGTCAGTGTGTAAACAATAGCCTTAGGGCTAAGCCTGGGCCCCAGAGGTGGGACTCTGTTCACCTTTGTTTCTCCACTGAATCATGAGCAAAAGTGCTTATTTGCCAGGTGGTGGATCAGCAGGGCACACAGGGTCATGTGCCCAGGGGCTGGCAGAAATCATGGGTTGGGTTCTTAGCTTGGTTCCTTGCTGGCTCATGGCCTCACACAAGGTACTGTATCTCTCTGTGCCTCTGTTTCCAACAGTTGAAAGGAGGTGATGAAAATCCTCCTTCATAGGGTTTTTATGAAGATTAAATGGGTTTAAACATGTAAAGTGATTGCTGCGGTCACTGTGCTAATCCATCTTCTTAAGGGTCTTCCTCTCTTTTAATGACTATCCACTTTTGCCGCATTATGTCTTTTTCCAAGAACTGACCCCTCCTGACAACATGCCTGAAGTATAAGAGACAAAGCTTCACCATCCTTGTCTCCAAAAAGCACTATTTTTGCCTTCAAGAAGTGGCTGCACTTTCTCCAAGACATATGTGTTCGTCCTTTTGGCAGTCCATGGGCTATTCAGTACTTTTCTCCAACACCACAACTCAAAGACATCAATTCTTCTGCCATCAGTAGTCACTGTCCAATTTTCTGATACACAACACATAATTGGGAAGAAAATGGCTAGAATCAGGCACACCTTAGTCTTTGGGAAATATAATCCTTTAAACTAAATATATGTGTTTGGGGGGGTTACCCATTCATGCACAAAGGCTGCTCCATTCTGAACCTCACTCCTCTTTAATCTGCACCAACTTCGTGTCTGAGTTTCCAACTTCCCCTGGATGGCTTCAGTTGTAGGGGTTGGACTGCTGGTAACACAGCCCCTTGACTGTAACTGGCAATTCATCCACCTGCAGCCAGTCCCAAGGTTCCCTGCTGTCCAGGAAGCAGGGCTTCCTGTCCTCCAGCTCTAAGCACACAAGGAATGGGCAACTGGAAGACTGTAAAGTCAAACACTCACAAGAAAGAGAGCTCTGGTATCTACACAGTCCACCACATCCCCACAGGAAGCATCAACATGGGGAAAGCCCAGAAACTGCAGGCACGCCCACAGGAAAAGGTGATCCAATGACAGCAGATCAAAGGGGCTGCTCACAGACTCATCCCGAGGTGCAGAAAACTATACACAGAGGGAAACAACGTGGTCAAATATGGTCAAGTGGACAGAGACCATTCTCCTTAGTGACTACATTTGGGTTTCTGCGGTATAAGAATCTATGACCTAGCTCTGTCCTCCATGTCAGTGTCTCTCTCATTGATGCCACGCAGCCAGCTTCATCACCTCCACCAGAGCCCCGCCCACCAGCTTCAGCGCCTCCACCTGAGCCCCGCCCACCCGCTCCAGCACCTCTACCAGAGCCCCGCCCACCAGCTACATCACCTCCACCAGAGCCCCGCCCACCAGCTCCATCACCTCCACCTGAGCCCTACCCACCAGCTACATCACCTCTGCCAGTGCCCACATCCACTCAATCTCTGAACACCAGAGTTTTTGTCCACAAAACCATAGCCATGCAGGAGGCACAGATGCAGATGAACAAGGCAGGGAGGACGAATGACTTGGATGAACTGTCCACACTCATCATTCCCAGGAGAATGGGAAGTCTCATAAACAGTGGAGACAGAGCCCTCCTCCCACCAAGTCATGGGCACATCACACACTAGGCATGCTCTCTAAGTGCGGTTGTGAATGTTCCAGGCCCTCTAACAGCCATAATGTATCTGAGGAACCATCAAATGATGATTCTTACCATCGGGAGAAGAGGAAGAAACCAAACAGAAGCCAAATTCAGCAGCAGGATTGAGTGCAGACTTGGAACTGCAGAGCCTATAGGGAAACTACTCACCTCACTCAAGCATAGTCCTGCCAGGGCCAGGAGTACCTCAAGACACCACACACAAGAAAACCCTCCCACAGAGATGCTTTCTTCTCACAGTGTTGTTGAGGCCTGGAGGTGCTCAACAAATGGTCATCTCATAGGGCAGGGAACCCCAAGTGATTTTCCAAATGCACAGCTAGAAAATCTTCTGAGCCAGGCATCAGGGCATGTGCATTAGATGAGATCAGGGGCAAAGGAGGGATAGAGAGGACTCGTTAAGGCTTCAGGTTCAAGTCCAAGGCCTAGAGAATTTGTCCAACCAAAATGTACTTGTTCTGGCCAGAGACATGTTCCTTCAAGCACAAGAAGAGGTGAATGAATGCCTTGTCTTACAACAAAACTCCAGCTCAGCTTAGGGCACATGCACACAAAAGGCCCCCTCTGGTCCTGCTGAGCCCCCAGTTCTACCTGTCACCTTTCCTTGGAAGTCCTTCCTTCCATCACCACCATCACCATCATCATCACCAGCAGCAGCACCACCACCATCAAAATAAAAATTCTCATCATCACCTAACCATCATTCCATCACCATCACTATCAATACCACACCATCAAAATAAAAATCTTCATCTTCACCATCATCATCACCATCAAAATAAAAATCATCATCATCATCATCAGTACATTATCACCATCCTCTACCTCTCTACCCACCACTACTCATCATCTTCACCACCATCGTCACCACCATTTCCACAGCAGTAAACCTTTCTCAGTTCTAACTGTGGAATGGAATCCAAGCACAGCTTTCCTCCCTGCATCATCTTGTCCACCTGCTTGCCTGCCCTGTAGGCTGCCCATTAAACAAGGAAACAAAACCTACCAAATGAGGAAACAATAATCTCTTCAGCAAGTGTTACTGGCAAAACTGGAGTTGTACCTGTAGAAAACTGAAGCAGGATCCACACCTCACACCATACACAAAAATTAACTCAAGATGAATCAGAGACCTAGTAAAGCCCCAAACCGTAAAGACCATAAAAGAAAAATTTTGGCCAAACTTAGAAGTCCTAGCCTATGGTTTAAAGAGGCTGGCAAATACTGCCAGAAATGCACAACCAGGAGAGGATAACATTGATGAATGAAACCTTCTAAAGATGAAGTCACTATGTGCATCAAAAACTTTTACCAGTAAGACGAAATGAAAACCTACTGACTGGACTGGGGAGGGGGGTGGGGGGGGGGCGGAACCTTTGGCAATG